ACAGCAAAGGACTGTGGCTCACATTCAGCATAATTAATTAAAGAAAACAAGTGTATTTTCCCAAATAGACTATTCTTTACCATTAGGCTATGCTTCATGAATTTCAATTTGTTATTTTCTCAATTTATTTAAATTCTCTAAAGCACATTTGCAGGCTGAGTGCTTCATCATTAATCTTTGCATTGTTACTGTGCTAAAAGAGTATTTAAATAAGAAACAAAAGGAATGACGCACGCACGAGCACAGGCGCGCACACACACACACACACACAAAATGTAATCAGGATGAGGTTTTGAACAAGGTTCAAACTGTTTTCTCAGCCATCTGTGGCAGTAAATCTGCAGTCTGCAGGGATCCGTCTCCTTCACTTACTGGACTGCACACACACAGACTGCAACGCTCAGCATATCTGGACAAAAAGCTGCGGAGAGTAAGTCCCCCCCTTCTTTAGGATGATGGATGATATCAATTACCAGAACAAACATTAAGGCTATCTTTGTAAATGGAAAGTAACACTAAATAAAAACAGGAAGACCCAAATGCCTGAATAAGGGTCTCCATGCAGCCCACACCAAGACTCACTGAAAGAAGCCTCCAGATGTTGTGATGCATAAGGCTTATATTTTATCTTCTTTTATTTTCCATTATGTTGCACTCTTAAAAACACCTTTTGGATATTTAAACACATTCTTATGTATATTCTTCTCCATGTCAACATTTATTTATTTATTACTACTACAATTAACAGCATTTTATTTCACTGTACAGTATTTAATTTTACTTTCTATATATTATTCTATTTAAATGTACCGGTATACGGAATCCTACTTGGTAACAACATTCTCTGCAACATCTTTTACATATAAATAGTATATATGTGCATTACCTGCACATTGGTCTTGCAACATCATCTTGCACTATTTTGTTCTACTCCGTGTCTTCTTGGACCATTTTTTATTGTTTTTTAAATTAGTTTTATTGTTTTTCTTACGTCCTATATTATGACGATAAAGCCTTTGAATCTCTTGAATCTCAGGGATACAACGGTAGCTTAAAATAGGGGAAACTAAAGAACATGCAGAGGGGAGCTGTAGGGCATCATGCACTTCTCTGGAAGAATAATGTTCTGTCATCCAAGAGGACGTGTTCTTAACTGGTGAGGTCATGATAAAGGTGGGTGCAAATATATAAATATATGTCTACTGAGACACTCCAGTCATGTTTACAGCCTAAAGAAGTGCATAGCATACACTGCTTGGTATAAAGACACTGTGACTTTGTGTTTCTGATACACTAAGTGCTTACACAAAGGAAAATGCAGCACTGCCTCTGGGATTGAGATCATGCACTAGCACACATCAGGATGTAAAGCATTTGTTTTGTATTCCAGTCTGAAGAGTAAATCATTACATTCATAAATCACCAATAATGATGCTTCAAGCTGGAGGACAGAGCACAAAGAGAAAAAGCTCTTGAAAACTAAAAGTCATAGACACAACCTTGAGGTATTCTTTAGGGTCCTTCAATGCAGAAAATAGGGTAATGCTCTGAAGTGAAACTGGTGAAAAGTATGTTTGATGAAACAACATATAATGATGTAATGGCCTGACACTGGTGCTTAGGGTGCATGTGGAACGAGCTGGAAGTATTGTGGATGAAAAACACTTTAATGGGTGTATTTGTGAAGTCGATGTGTCTGGCTCTCTCTCAGTTGTTTTTTTGAAGACTGAATCAAAACCCAGAAAAAAAACATCTAGTCCAACATTAGACATTTATATAATGTTTTAATCATTTTTATTTGGTCAAACTTTAAAATAAATCATGCTAACATTTGTCTATTATATAGATATTCCTGGTTAATTTAAAGCTGTAACAACTCTTTATGTATGTCTTTAAAGAGGCCCTATTCTTCTCATTTTCAGGTTCATATTAGTACTCATTAGGCCGGCTCTCTAGTCCCTGCTAGAGAGCCGATACTTTCCTGGGGAGAAAAAAGTTCCAATTTCTGATTGGCTGGGTGAATTGCAAACCACGCCCCATAAAACTCTGAAAAGTTTTGTGAAGCCGCCATTGTATTTGCTGGCATTAGCATTATTAGCATTAGCATTAGCCCCGCGCACCAACGGAGAGAGACTAACTTATGGCAACACAAATGAAAACATGGGAGCGGTGGAGATGAGGAGGTGTTGGCTTCAGTAGAAGCTGCTGGGACTCCCAGCAGCTTCTACTGAAGCCAGTCTCCAACTCCGGGGACTTCCGGCCGGGGACTTCGGGCGGCAGTATACGCCGTGAAGTTGTTTGCGGCCTGCCAGTAAACCCAAAGCAGAAGAAGAAGAAGTGACGTCAGCGGCTTCATTTGCGTAATCTTCGCTCAGGGACTTTTTCCAGTGTGAACGCGATCTGCTCTTTAGTTCCATGGGGGAAATAAGTGCTGGGAACTAAGTGCTGGGAACTACACTGAACAAAAATATAAATGCAACACTTTTGTTTTTGCTCCCATTTTTCATGAGATGAACTCAAAGATCTAAAACATTTTCTATATACACAAAATAACCATTTCTCTCAAATATTGTTCACAAATCTGAAAAAATCTGTGATAGTGAGCACTTCTCCTTTGCTGAGATAATCCATCCCACCTCACAGGTGTGGCATATCAAGATGCTGATTAGACAGCATGAGTATTGCACAGGTGTGCCTTAGGCTGGCAACAATAAAAGGCCACTCTGAAACGTGCAGTTTTGCTTTATTGGGGGGGGTCTGGGGGGGTCCGAAAACCAGTCAGTATCTGGTGTGACCACCATTTGCCTCACGCAGTGCAACACATCTCCTTCGCATAGAGTTGATCAGGTTGTTGATTGTGGCCTGTGGAATGTTGGTCCACTCCTCTTCAATGGCTGTGCCAAGTTGCTGGATATTGGCAGGAACTGGAACACGCTGTCGTATACGCCGATCCAGAGCATCCCAAACATGCTCAATGGGTGACATGTCCGGTGAGTATGCTGGCCATGCAAGAACTGGGATGTTTTCAGCCTCCAGGAATTGTGTACAGATCCTTGCAACATGGGGCCGTGCATTATCATGCTGCAACATGAGGTGATGGTCGTGGATGAATGGCACAACAATGGGCCTCAGGATCTCGTCACGGTATCTCTGTGCATTCACAATGCCATCAATAAAATGCACCTGTGTTCGTCGTCCATAACGTACGCCTGCCCATACCATAACCCCACCACCACCATGGGCCACTCGATTCACAACATTGACATCAGAAAACCGCTCACCCACACACGCTGTCTGCCATCTGCCCTGAACAGTGAAAACCGGGATTCATCCGTGAAGAGAACACCTCTCCAACGTGCCAGACGCCATCGAATGTGAGCATTTGCCCACTCAAGTCGGTTACGACGACGAACCGGAGTCAGGTCGAGACCCCGATGTGGACGACGAGCATGCAAAGACATTCTTTGGTTATGCAAACCGATTGTTGCAGCAGCTGTCCGAGTGGCTGGTCCCAGACGATCTTGGAGGTGAACATGCTGGATGTGGAGGTCCTGGGCTGGTGTGGTTACACGTGGTCTGCGGTTGTGAGGCCGGTTGGATGTACTGCCAAATTCTCTGAAACGCCTTTGGAGACGGCTTATGGTAGAGAAATGAACATTCAATTCACGGGCAACAGCTCTGGTGGACATTCCTGCTGTCAGCATGCCAATTGCACGCTCCCTCAAAACTTGCGACATCTGTGGCATTGTGCTGTGTGATAAAACTGAACATTTTAGAGTGTCCTTTTATTGTTGCCAGCCTAAGGCACACCTGTGCAATAATCATGCTGTCAAATCAGCATCTTGATATGCCACACCTGTGAGGTGGGATGGATTATCTCGGCAAAAGAGAAGTGCTCACTATCACAGATTTTTTCAGATTTGTGAACAATATTTGAGAGAAATGGTTATTTTGTGTATATAGAAAATGTTTTAGATCTTTGAGTTCATCTCATGAAAAATGGGAGCAAAAACAAAAGTGTTGCGTTTATATTTTTGTTCAGTGTAAGTACGGCAAAGTACTTGGTGTGAAAGCGGCTATTGTCTCTACTGTGACATGTCTCCATGCTTTAATGTTCAAAAATCTCTTTATTGTTCTCATACTGCCTGTACTGCAGCACCTCTTTTCACCCTCTGTCTGAAACCAGAGCCCAGTCTGCTCTGATTGGTTAGCTGCACTACATGTACCCATACCTATATAACACACTACAGGAGAGGGAAACCCCAAAAAGCTGAATATGGCACCTTTCAAAAATACCCACCCTTTGACAGCTACCTATTTCTTCCTGAAGGTCAGTTTTTTGTTTGTGTATATGCTATAATGTCTGTGTGGTCACAGCTGTTGCAAATTAGCGATTTAAGCTACAAATGAAGGCTGTACCTATTAATTGAAGATCATTACCTCACTCTACAGTTTCCCTCAGCTCTGAGTAGTGCCTTAGGACATTTTTGGTTGTTTTTTAGATTTGTGCCAGAAACAGTTTTGGTTCAGTTTCACAGCTCTCATCAGGGCTTTTTTTTAAACGCAGTAAATATATTGTGTTGTTCTTGGATAGTTTTTATTTGTACTCTTTCACTCTTCTTGAAGCAAACACCAGAAGACCACTTAGTCATTTATAATAATTGGATCTTAGGGCAGCAATATTCCTTGGAGTTTTAAAAGTAAATGAAAGACCTACATTTTTTATTTGCCTTCTAATTTTTGATTATTTTTAGTGGTATCACTGTTCACTGTTCATGGTTTTGTGATCTAACTCTTTCTGTTTTGTTTTAATAAGTTCTTTGTTTTTGTTTTATCTTATCATACTCTGTAAAGCACTTTGGGCTGTATCTTGCAAGAAAGGTGCTATATAAATAACGGTATTATTATAATGATAATGCAGTATCACAGTGATTATAATGCATTATCATACCAGACGTGTTCCTTGTTAACTTCACATAACTAAAAGAGATGAATTGTACCTGTGGATGATGTGCTGGTTCTGCAGGTAGTCCAGAGCCAGCGTCATCTCACAGAGGTAGAGCTTCACAGCGTCCTCACTGAACTGGACGTTCTGCTGCAGGTGGTAGCGCAGATCTCCTCCCAGCAGGAGGTCAACCACCATGAACATGTCCTCCTCATCCTGAAACGAGTACCTGGGAGAAGAGGGGAGGACAGTGCTCACTCTATGTCCAATGTCTTAGAATACACATGCAATACAAGCAAAGGCCGAGCACAAACAGTATAGGGTGTGTGTGCTCTCGCAAGCAGTGCACAAAGTAGACATGAGCAAAGCTTACACATCTGCAGACACACATGCATGTTGAAAGAAACCTACACATCTGTATGAGCAACCACCAGGAAACATGCTATATGCATACATCCATCTCTGTCTTGCACCAAAAGAAATACCTTTGAATAAGCAACCTTTATGCATATTTATATACGTCAATGCATGCTTCAGTTGGTTTCTGTGTGAAAGTGTGCTTTCTGGCAGGCTCTGAGCACGCTGGATAGCAACAGAACACACATCATTATCCTAATAACATGCCACTACTGTGGAGGGAATGCAAAAAGAGAGGGATTGGTTGTCGAATTAAAGCTTGAAAGCACCCATCTTTGCATGATGTGACTTAATTGAAGGCTGCTCGTGGTCTGCTAGACCATTTTTGTCAGTCAGGCTTACTAATCATGCACATCAAATTAAAACACAGCCTCTCAGTGATCTGGCTGGGGATTTGTAGCACTCCGCTCCACCATTTCTGCCCCAGACTTTAAACAAAACATTAAGCCACACGGGTGAACAAACTGTTTTGTGCATCGAAATCAAATGTACAGTATCCTCTACGAAAAAGTAGAATAATATCTTAATAGGCCCCCCTTGTCAATTTGCAGAGGAGGAGGAAAAACAAATAGAGCCTCTGTGGTTTCGTCTATCAAACTCTGTTTAATGGGGTCTGCTATCGAGCCAATTCTTTATTTTCCCATTAAAAGCTCTGATACTTTGCCGATATGCGTTCTTGTATAGCTGCAGGTTCCCTCTGTTTCTTCAGGCTTGACCTGTACATTCTCATTGGTCCTATTCAGGTGTAATTTCCTACCTCTCTATAAGTGAGAAATGGGGCCCGTGTTTGCTGCAGAGCGAAATCAATCAGACTGGTGGAAAAACCCATTTGCAGTGCTGTTGGGTCTTTTTCTCCTCCAAAAACAAAGCGTAGATTAATTGATGAAAGGCCTTCGACTTTCCTGTGATGGAATGGGCGGAAAGTACACTCTATTGACTCAGTGTACACAAATATAACACACAAAGCTTTGTATTACATTCAAGTGTGTTTATTCTACCTCACACTTTTCCTTTTCCTCAGACAACCTGACACCACTGTAGCGAGATAGCATGCACTCAATAGGAAATGACAGCAGAGCCACCTACATCAGACACAGAGCAGCGACCCGCCCTGACCACTCAGAGATCAGCCTCAGCATTAAAACACGGCCTCAGCAGAAGGCCGGCCGCAGGATGTTGTTGCACTTGGCAGGGGTTCTTCACTGTCACCTTTTTATCACCTAATTGTCACGGTCTGATTCCCTGCATCCAGTTGACAGATCATTGTTGTGTGAGGCGGCAGGCGCTATCTCTGTGTTCTGCAAAACAGTCTTTCCAATCCCCTGGCCAAATATCTACACTCCTAAGAGAAAGCAGCAGCGGTTCTGGCTGGCTGTCATTTGCTGAGGTGACAAGGAGATGTCAGATATTGGTCGACAACTGGAGCATAACAAAATCTCTTGGGCTGACAAGACTTGTCACCTTAAAGACCTTCACAAAGGATGGGAGAGGAAGGAAACACAAACTATTTGATCTCTTTTTTAGGGAACGCTTTGATCCAAATTCTCCCCAATGTAAAGACAAACAAAACCTCAGTAGCTGTTTTTCTACAGGCTCTGCGCCCAGCCTCAAAGTGAGCAAAGAGGAAATGATGTATCATGTGAATGCAGCTTTAGTTGAACGGCACAGAAATATATTCAGACAACTATCCACCCCCTAACTTCTGGCCCTGATTTAGGTATTGGTCAAAAGGGTTCCATAATATAGGGGTCAGTATGCTTCACACAACTATTCAAAAGAAAAAAATCGGACAAGCACGTCCACTTTGAAAAAAAAGGAAATGGCCACATGTGTGATAGTATGGAATTTCACTCAATTGAACACCTTGATTGCCTTTAAGAGAGATAGTGTTTGCCCTTAACCCCCTATGAGTCATTACGTCTCATCTCTCGTTGACCTGTCAATCTTTTGTCTTTTGACGAACCCTAACCCTACTGTTCCAGGAAGTTTCCAACATGTTCCGACCTTCAGAAAAGTACTCAAGGCTTCCCACTTCCTCCAGCAGGTTCCTAGGGGATCCCAAGGTGTTCCTAGGCCAGATCAGATGTACATTCTGTACGCTCAGGGTCTACCCTTGGGTCTCCTTACAGATGGATTTGCCCGGAATACCTTGACAATAATTAGTCCAGGAAAAACTCTTATCAGATGCTACTGGCTTCTTTTAATACGAAGAAGAAACTGTGTGTTTTTTCTCAGATACCAAGGCTCCACGTCTTGCCCAACGGGGAAAGGAAAGCCTATTTCAGACGCTGGTAATCAAGGACATGCTTACTTCAAGGGGATGGTAACATTTGTGATGACATAGGTGAAGGGAAATGAAATGGGATTTCCAGCAACCATCTGAGTGTTCTGCAATGCTTCTTTGATGTAGCATGTAGCTGTGCATCTCTTGAGCAGGAGGAGATCTTGAAAAAGCCAAACACCATTCTATTTGCTTGCTTTCTAGTTTCGCTCTACGATGAAAGAAGAAGACTTGAGGAAGATGTCCAATATTTACTCTCTTTTCAGTTTCATGTGTATTTCCACCAGCTCCTTGGGGCAATATCTGGCTTTAGAGTTGCTAAATGTTCAGCAGCTAACTTTCAGTGCAGGAAAGGTAGCATATGGTGGATTTCTATATATCCCTACCTCTCTTCAAATCTGCACAGCCCTCCACTTTAAAATATAAAATACAACAGTCTGTCATATATTGTCATATATTCATTGTACTATGTTTAGTTTTTTAGTTTCTTTTGTGTATTTATATTTTGGTGTAAATACTTGTCTTTTGTTCGTTTTTTTTACAAATATTTTCTTTTTATAATCATTATAGTTTTGACCTTCTCTTAAGTATTTCCTTATGTTGTGCCCCACCATACACCAAAGCAATTTGCCTGTATGTGTAAACGTACCTGGCAATAAACTAGACACTGATTGTGATTATCAGAGCTTTTAAGATGATAAGAGAAATACAACAGGACCACAGAGTAGGACACTGCACTTTGTGAACATAAAGTGTTCCCACTAAAGTCATTTGAAATGCCCTATTCTGCTCCTCATACTGAACAATTAGCACAGTTTATTACAATAGGCACATAGACGTGTGGGTCAAACCTTGATTATGAATGAATGCCTGGCAGTAATCTGGGGCCTGGGGGGGGGGGGGGGGCTGATACTGTCTAACAGCAGCAGGAGGCCATGTGGCTGAGGCCAGGACAGGACAGCCTACGACAGAGACGAGACTACAGTAAGGGAAGAAGGTTAGCTGGCTGGAAGGAGTACAAGGTACAGGCTGAAATAATCAGGTCACAGTGACAAATGAGCACAGGGAGGTAGGGAGGGGAGGCGGAACAGGGAAAGGGTTTTGAGGAAAAGGCAACAGAGAAACAGGAGCTTGTGATTCTGTTGGCTGGAGCCGCTCTGAAAAGTTTTCAATGGCCTAGATAAAGTTGATGATAGAGATGGACCGGCAGGAAGTGGCTGCGTGACTCAATCACAAGACGCTCGCATGCACCTTTGGGATCCGGCAACAATAGCATGAGTGAACGCTGCCCCTCCCCTCGGCGCCCTTCAACAAAACGCCTGAAGACACGACACCCCCACTGGCCTGCTTTCACAAGGTGCACTTTCAGAGCCATGTCCTACAAAAAGTTCTGCTTTAAAAGAAGCCATTTCAAGGCTGCAAATCCAGGGCAAAACAATCTGTTGATGCACAATGATATATGAGAGGCCGAGGTGGAGGAAGTACTCAGATCTTTTACTTATGTAGAAGTACCAGAGAGTAGGAATACTCTGTTACAGTAAAAGTCCTGCATTCAAAATGTTCCTCAAGTAAAAGTAGAAAAGTATTATCATCAACATATAGTGAAAGTAGCGACAGTAAAAGTAGTCGTTGTGCAGATTGGTCCATTTCAGAATAATATAATGATATGTTTTATAATGATAGATCATTAAAGTGTTCTCAAAGCTGGTAAAGGAGCAGCTAGTTTGAATGACTTTGTGTACTGCAGGGTAGCTTGTGAATTTACTCCAGGTGGAACTAAAGTCTGATTCAACACTTGATTATATTTCACATCATTCATCATCTGTGAAGTAACTAAAGGTATTACATACATGTAGTGGAGGAAAAGATTTACCTCTGAGTTGTAGTGGAGTAGAAGTTCAAAGTGACATAAAATGGAAATACTCAGTACCTCAGAATTGTACTAAAGAACAGTACTTGAGTAAATGTACTTAGTTACTTAACACCACTGATTAGAGAAACGATATTTGGCCTTCTATGAGGGTGATTTGAGGCCATGCCCCCAAACAGGGCTTGCTATAAATGCTGACTGTAGATTGAAGAGGCTAATTTGTTCCACACTCTCCTAAAGGCTTTGTTCCACACAGGATCAAATCAAATCAATATTCCTAATGGAGGCTGAGCAGGACACAGAACATCCATCCTCACCACTCCTCTAGCTCACTCTCTGACTTTGACGGAGTGATGGACAGTAAGAGCAAAGCCATACACCAATCCGTCAGATGGACTTGAAACCTTTCAAATCCTTTAAGATGCTCCCGTGGGGCCGTGTTCAGACCCCCCCTCTCTGATGACAGCCCCCCAGCCCCATGCCCTGACTCTGTTCCTCTGTGGCAGCGTCCCGTCCACCATGAGTCACTGCAGGTCGCAGGGAGAGCGTGAATGCTTGTTTGACTGACATGTTGTGATGTAGCGCTTAAGGCGAGCCTTGCCTTTATAATGATGTACTATACTCCGTAAACCAGAGGATCACATGTGTTGCTACGCCTGAT